TGCTGGGTGGTGTTGGTGGCCTGTGATGTACAGGAGGTCAGCCTGGATGATCAGGTTGTCCAGTTTGGCCTTAAACTCTATGATTCCAGAGTCAACTTCTCAGGCTGTGTAGCTCACACTTCACCAATGTGCAGTAGGTTTTGTTACAGGCAATGAGCGCAGATTTTCGACGGTGCCCATATACCTCAGCTTGGTTGGACTCCTTACATGGACAGCCCAATACAGTGAGTTAACAGTCCCATGGGCCTCTCTATAACAAAGGTGGGCACCGTGTAGAACACCTCCAAGAGCCAGAACCCCTTTGCAGGACTGTAAGGAGGACGACGCGGGTCCTGCTTGCCTACAGAGTCTCCACTCGGCAGGCCTCTGGGTCTCAGTCTCTCCTCCGCTTCCACTCAAGCCTAGGTTTTGAGAAGAGGAGGGAGACGGCCGGGGCGTGACTAGGGCTCAGAGGATGGGGTTCTGACACTCACTGAACATGGCTGGATTCAGTGGGGATGAAGCTAATTGGGTGCTATGGAAATGAGTGAGGAGCTCTCGAATTTCCAGAACATTCTACCTGCTCTGGAATTCCAGAGGTGGTCTGGAGAGAGGGCGGGGTCAATCCAGGGGATCAAAAACTGCTCCTCTTCCATGCGGGAAGGGCAAATGCAGCCGGGCCATGGGGACGAATCCTGGATCGCGGGCTGCAATGAACTGGGGCGGCAGTCTGCCATGGGAGGGATGGCAGCCCCAGTGCAGAGGATTTTTAAAGCTACACACCACAAAGCACTAAGGACTCTCCCATAGAGAACAATACTGTACTGGAGAACTGGCCCGGACAATAACGTGTCTCTCCTGTCTCTGACCTCTATGTTTCACAGGGTTAGTCTCTGACAGGCCTCCAGTCTGGGTCAGCCTACGCTGCGGCACAATCTCAAGCGCTCTCTCTAAAGCCTCCAAGAGCAGCTGCAGCCGTCTGGTGGGTCACCCCCGGAGACACCCCCTCTACGGACAGGGGTGTCCTTGGAAGAGACACAAGGGGCTGTTGTTGGAAGCAGCAGGCACTCCTTCACCTGCCCAACCCTAGTGAGGTATCCTACGGCAGAGAGTGGGACCTTTCCCTGTCACCTGCCTTCCAGCCACTAACTGATGGAGCTTAGCCACGGGTCATGTCCACTGCAGGGTTCGGACACCTTCCTCTGGAAGCCAGGCGCTAGCCCCGGTCAGAGCCAGGCTCCCAGCCTAGACCCAACACTGGTCCCATGCAGTAGGGCTGGGTTCCTCTCCAGCCCGGCTCCCTTTGACCCCAGAGAATCCTGTACCTGGGCTCGTCCTGGGTGGATTGTTTTCTAAACAAACACTATTGCCAAGGAATCCTGCAGGTTAACCAATAACCTTGGGAGAGAAAAGAGCCCGCAGCAGGGTGATCTTATCTTATCAGAGGCCTTTGGAAATGCCTAGGCAGGGCTCCCGCTGTCTCTGCTGTGGGCCCCCTACCCCCAGCACATTGATCTTATCAGGGTTTCTCCTGCCCTAGGAAAGTAAAAACCACACATCCAGCTGTCTGCTCCCCGGGTCCGTCCTATCACCGGCCAGGGACGGCAGCAGGGTTTGTGAAAACTGTGCTGCCCACACCCTTATTGTCTCCACTGCAGAGTCAC